ATATATATATATATATCCAAGATTTCAGTATGAAGGTGCTCTGGGAGTGTACGTACTATGTATTTACACACTAGACAGACAATGCATCTTGCAAAGTAATTATGTTTTTGTTCTTCTAAAATATTAAAATAAATATAAGAAAAATATTTGAACTTATGGGAGAAACGGAGGGTAAATTAACCTGCAAGTGAGATTTAACATGTGACAAAGTTAAATCTTTCACATCCATTAGCTCAAGAACTGACTTGGGTGTTGCTCCTAAAATCATTACACAAACCAATTATATGATCAGTGTATGAAAATGTAATAAGAAGAAACAGTAATTCTAAGATGAACACCGTATTTAAAAGGATTTAATTTAAGGAGAAGAAGAAGAAGAAGAAGAAGAAGAAGAAGAAGAAGAAGAAGAAGAAGAAGAAGAAGAAGAAGAAGAAATTTAGACAATACTTTCATGGCCGCCTAAAAGCTCAACAGCATGGACAAAGCGAGCATGAAGGGTAGTCGTCCAGCGCATCCTCGGAGCCCTCATACTGCGTTTGGACGGGAACCTCGATGATAAAAATCTTGATCGCACAATATTGTTAATATTATTGTTATGAATTAGAGAACTGGTGGTCGTAGAATTAGTGCAGGAATCTAACGAAGGTTGGTTCTTATGATGCGGATTGGCCATTATCGGGAAATTGGGAGGGGTATTCTGGTAATAAACAGGAATTCCTCTTATAGGTCTCAAGAAACCTAATTCTGAACTAAACCCAGCCTGATGATGGTGTTGGTGGTGTTGGTAAGGATACATATTTGATGATGATGTGTTGGTGTTTTGAGTAGAGAGGAGATTGTGGAAATGGGTGAGGTCGGAATTTGTAGAGTGAATATTAGGGTTCGACAAGGAAAGCCCGAAAGAGGGTTCTGGTCTTCTTGTTGAGCCATGTTGTTGCTGCTGTTGCTGTTGTTGGTGTAGTTGTTGAGAGTTAAAAGCTCTTTTCCATAGATTTCCCAAATCCAAATCATGGTGATCTTGATCAGATGCTGTTGATGATGTTCTCCAAGCTTTTGAAGTGGGTTTGCTGGTGGGTGGACTGATTTGAAGAGACAAGTCTGGTTGTGCTGGAAAGAGCTCCATTTCAGCTACCAAGTTCTCTACTTTTCTCTAACCCTCCTTCTGATCGGCAAAATGGCTAACACTCGAACCAGTAAACACAAGGAAATATATAGAGGTCTAGAAGGCCATGATAACTTGTTCTCTCCTCCCTAGCCTGTTCTTCCTGCAATCTTGAAGGTTGTGAACCTTGGATATGGTGGTCTTGAGAGGTTAAAACGATGATGGGTTTGTTTCTGTTATGTGTGATCTATGTTTTGAAAGTATGATGATGAAGGGTTTCTCTCAAGAATTCTTGAGATGGGATTTGTCTAATCAATGGTGAATTGGGAGTAGTTGTGGAGTTCTTGAGAGAGAGAGAGTGGGGGTGAGAGATGACAAGGTATTAAGTGAATGGTTGCATCTTTTATGTGAAGTATATGTGAGAAAATGACACTTGAAGAGACGGGAGAGAGAGAGAGAGAGAGAGAGAGAGAGAGAGAGAGAGAGAGAGAGAGAGAGAGAGAGAGAGAG